ATAGTGCTCGTTAAGCAATAGAAAACAAAACATTTACTGAGTTAACCTATATTCTGGGTAGCATGAGTATCAGGCTCTCCGGGAGAGGGGAAAGAGAGAGCCGGCTTCCTTCCCTTCTCTCCCCCTCCCCCTCGGAAGACCTGATACTCAGGCTATATTCCGGGTGGATTAATGAGCRTGGAATATACTGTCGCTAATCCGCTAAATCGGAAATCTCTATTGCAACCATTGTTATAAATAAATGTTAGGGACCAGTCATCATTTAAGTTGGAGGGGGTGGGGGTGGAGGAGAAAAGGGGGTCTTGAAAGGTCAAAAGGAGGATTGGGAGAATTTCTTAAACAATTGAAGGGGGTACCCGAAAAACATGAATACTATTATGTAATAATAATAATAATAATAATAATAAATTTATTAATGTGTCACATCGTTCTAGTTTATTACAAAATAAACTAATGGGGACACCTATCTAAGACCCTATAAAACCAATAAAACAATTCCTGTATTCCAAGCCCTTAAATTAAAACAACCCCTATATATTTACACTAGTCTACTATACAGTAATATCCCGTCCCTCACAACGAATTTTTTATCATCAAAAGCATTTTCTCCTCCATCCCCCCCCGCCCCCCACTCTCTTTCTGACTTAAATAATGACAGGTCCCTTTATATTGTTATTTCAGGGAATAAACTTGAACACTGCTTGTGATAATGGTCAAGTCAAGCATATAGATGGCCTAAAATTAATATCCAAAGGTCTTTCAGCAAAACAAAATAAGGATGAAGCTTTGAATACAGAAAAAAATCCATTTGTAAATGTCAGGTAAAGGATTGCCACTGTTTTCATTGCTACATACTGAGAAGGGGAAAAGCTATGCCAGTTTGATTCCCAAAAGAGACTATAGATCAAGTATATCATCTTTTCATTATACGGTACAGTATTCAAAGTTCAATGAGTTCAATGTCAACTGTACACCTTTCCATATTCCAGTTTGATGGCTTTCAGAGAAGAGCACTTGCTGCTCGCTGCCCCCACCCCCTCCCCCGCCTTTGTCTGTTATGCCTATTTCCACATTATAACAATCCCAAAATACAATTTATTTGAATGAGGGTTGGGCTTTCTTTTTACTTTGCAGAAATTTAAATTTTTCACTTGAAGAGCTATACAAGCAAATAAGATCCTGGGTAACCGTAAAAGGGAATGAGCCGTGTCTATTATTGATTGATGATATAAGTATCCTGTTGTCTCTTGGTGTTACTGTAAAAACTGTTAAAGATTTCTGTCACTATTGCACAGATCTCATGTGTTATGACAAAAATGTGGTAAGAAGTCCTGTAATGACATTATTCATGTTGGTGCAACGTTTTCCCATTCTAGACCGCATGTCATTCCCTAGAGTATCATTTCTTTGTTCAATAGTTGCGCATGAGAATCTTGACACATGGATATGGATACAAATCAAACAAAGAATCTTATTCTTTAGGGAATGAGACATGGTCTGTAATGGGAAAACATTGCACCATGACAAATAAGATCATCCCGTTTTCCTCTAGCATCAATAACTTGAAGTCCATCTGTGATTGAAGTGCAGTGCTCAACACTAACTCTTTTAGATACTTACGCCAATGGGCTATCCAATAGCCCAGAAGTTGAGACTGATTTACTAGCCAAGATAATAATTATTAGTTAGCTTATTAGTTAATCTAAAAAACCACTACATGTAGCCTATGGAATAGTGAGTCCTAATTTTCACTAGCTGGGAGCAAAGATTTACTAGTCCCAGACTAGTGGACTAGATTTAGTGTCAAACACTCAAGTGCAAGGGGCAGGCAATTCTGTGGAAGTGCCACATCTTGCATTTAATAATTTCAATTTTTATTTTCTTGGTCATGAATGATGTCTTCAGGTCAGTGGATGCTTTGTCTGTCTGGTACACTGTGATGCTGATGTTGATGATGACATGTCTATGTTGCTATTGCGACAGCTATGTCACATGGCTCACATAGAGATGCATGTGGAAGGTCTTAGTAGTGGATATTGTAAAGATGTTCATGGTCAGGTAGGTGGATAATCAATTTGAAAACAAAAACTCCGAATGATACAAGCTATTAACTTGTCAGTCTCAGATTCTCCTGGTCCCTAGACTGTTACAAGAACATTCCTGTGGACCTGAACATTTTAGGGGAATATTGAAATTGCTCATGATCAGGGAATAGAGCTCTTACTGATAATGGTGGCAAYCTTGAATTTTTTGAAGTTTCACATATTGTTCTAACCACCGGCAAATCACTTCACCTTTTTGGCGCTAGCCGTCACGGGGTATAAATATTGTTTTACCAAAAAGTTCGGACATTGTTCTCGAATTTCAGTACAAATAGTATTTACTTGGTTTTATGTTTAGTTAGTTCTCTAAATACAAGTGAATGATCATTTTTCTAGCTTGATCGAAGCTTTTCTTACTGTTGCTAAGATAACTAAAGAAATCTACCTAAATTTTCTCTTGTGAATTTGTATAGGAATTATCCGAAAACGATGTCCGAACTTTTTGGTGACCTTAACACAATCCAAGCTAGCACCGAAAAGGTGAATTGCTTATTAAATGTGCTTCTCCTTGAAAAGCATAATTCTAAGACACCCTGACATTTGTGGAGTCTTAAATTTCCAATACTTGCCCCCTCAGCATCCCGTAATATCTTACAATAGAATTCGAGATGGCTGCCCTATTGGTAAAAAGGACTATTGTCAGGGAATTTTCTATTTGATCAAGGAAATCATAATTTAAAATCTGCTAAAAATCAGGGAAAAGTCTTTTGGATTTTTTAGTCCATAATTGCAAACAATTTACTGAAGACTGTCTCCTAAACTAAATGTGGGGGCAGGGTCACCTATAAAAGTGCCAGAAATAGTAAATGTTCATGGTCACATTGTCACATTTTTATTTCAGCTGGTAATAACATGGAGAGAGCCAGATGACCCAAGGCCAAAACCCTACAAGAAAACTACAACACAGTATAAAATTCAAGATCGTATGGTGACCTTCTTTGCACCAGGAACATCAAAGGCAGTACTATGACATATTATTATTTACGGGTAGCAAGAACTTTTCACAATTCAGTGTACAAAAAAGGGTGTAATCCCCTCCTAAAAATGAATGCTCCCTAAAGGTAGTAAAACTTAATCTAATTAGAAATGGGAAAACTGTCAACAATGCTCCATTTTACAGTTCCGTTCCAAGCCGAGGCTGGAGTTTCCGTGCATGATAAAAAGTATAGTTTTGCTATGCGCGGAAACTGCAGCCTCGACTTGCAACTATTATTCGTGGTCACTCGAACAGAACTGTAAAATGGAGTATTCTGTCAATAAATCAATACCATTTTCATGTGAGCACACACAATTTTAATTATTTTAGCTTATCTTTCCAAGACAGCTAAATTTGGAAAACAAAATGACCATTTCACCCAGGAGTATATAACATTTTATCGTAAAAACCTCCAACTTGAGCTCCACCTGAAATTCCTAGAAATACGCCTTTCAAGATTAAAATGGATGTGTATGCAATTGTAAGCTTTGACTGTGTTTATTTTATTTACGCTATTCCATAAGTAAATTTACATAAGTTAGAATAGCTTACAATACATTATTAATTAGCTTCAAAACAGTTAATTATAAATTAGATAAATATTTACATTATTTTCTAAGAGTAATTATCAAATAAAAAACTAATAAACTCTAAAAAGAAATATGAAAACAATAATTAACCATTCTAACTATTCATTGACAATAGACCTTTCCTGAATTCACCTGTTAATGAATGACCACCAAAAATAGCTGCAATGAGCCCTTTGCATCAAACAGTCACATGCTAATATATAACTTTGATAAGGAATCAATAGCGCAGCCCAACCGTGACGTCATAAAACGAAGACAAAGGCGAAATTCAGACAAACAAACTTACAAGTTTACTTTCAGCAGATAATTTTCGCAGCTGAGCGCAGTTGATCTTAGTTTACATGGGTTATTATTGTAACTTTAAGTAAAAATAAATTAAATCGGTTCCTATAATCCTTGTAGCAGTTAAACAGAATGCAATGTTTGTCCGAATCTTTCAGCAATTTTTAGAATCAGTGCGCTGCGCTATTCAGGGTAAGGCTTTGCTGGACAACATAATTGCTTTATATCTTGAATTAAGTAGAGTACAATCACTAAAAGTGTGCAACATAAATATCACAAATAGTGTTTGCTAATTATATTGTTTTCTTTTGTTTAATTAGTGCTATTTACTGCTAAATAGTGATAACTATTGCACACATTTAGTGTTTGTACTCTATATTTCATAAGGGGAAAATAGTATCTTGAAAAAGGTTTTGGGATATTATGACATTGATTGGTAATCCAACAAAAGTTCTTTTAAACATAGGAAGACTGTCCAAATTGTTTGCCTTCCAGTAAGAGTCCTATGATCATATCCTGCTAAGACCCTAGATTGCTAGTCGAGGTAATTGGACTCAATGTGTTCTCACAATATATAAAATTAGTAAAAATACACAGGTGATTATTGAAAATCTTGCGCGCTGACTGGTTGAGAAACTCACACTATCACATAATAATCACCTCCAGCGATAACCCAAAACGGCGGCCAGCTGCTTCGTTGCTGTTACCGGGGAAAAATGTCTTTTATCTTATTTTTTTTCTTTTTTTGAAAGAATCACCGCCTGTGTATTTATACTAAAACAATTATTTGCCTCAGCCTCAGTGAATATCGTTGAATATTTACCTCGCCACTCAAAGACTTGCGTATTGGTAAATATTCCCCGATATTCACTTCGCCTTTGGCGAATAATTGTTAAATATATATCAGTAAATGTATGAATGATTTTAAATCTAGCAAGGAATCCTATTCTTAAAGGGATGACATGATGTAAGATGGGAAAATAGAAACCTAAAATCTTGGTTTTAAGAGCTCATGGATGTTTGCTAAAAGCAATGATAATATATGCCAACCATTTTCACAAAGGCCCTTCACCAGTTGCATTTTTACACCTGCCATTCGATCTTTTATTGACTAATGTTGACGTCACATAATGTATCAATTATGATCAAGTGTTGGTGTTCTATTGCTGTACAGACATCTAGAACACATTTCCTGGAACTTAATCTCATCAATAGTATCATCATCTAGAAGCCCCAGATCCCTCAGAGTTTTTTTATACTCTTCCTTGTTCTCCATCACAGTCAAAAGGTTTGCATGAGTCATTCGAGACAGATGAATATTCCAATATATGACCACTGTATTTGAAAACGTGACATAAACAAAGCAAGGCACATTTTTGCCAGACTCCATACCAAAGTATCCCGTACTAAAAGCCTTCACATCCTCCTTGAACTTGAAACAAACAATGTTTTTTTCTGAGTCAATAATGTATGTCGAGCCATCCCAAGCACAGGCAATAATTTCTTCATACCCATCACTCGTTACGTCAAGTTTTGAGAGAGTAAGTAGATTTTTTTCCAGCGTCAAAGTCCAGAGAATTTGTTCTTGGTCAAGAAGTGAAATGTTTCCATCCAACATCCCAAGAGCCAGTAAACTAGAGGGTTTGTTTGGGGTGGGCCATATACTGTGCTTGTTGGATATTACCGTCATAGCTGTTGCAATGCCTGAATGATGGTTTCCACTCACAAATGGAAGAGGAAAATCAAAAAAGCTCATTTCACTAGTGGCAGACTTGGGTGTGTCACTTCCCTGCAAAATAAAATGAAAGAACAGAATTTTTTTTCTTCCAGTCTGGCATCCTAAAAAAAAACATGCATTCTGATTGGCTGTTCGAGGGGGCAGTACTTTATCAGTATCTGCCAGCAGTCGCAGTGTGGTATCCTGGGACTGCTAAACAACAATGATTACAAACATTTATGTATATGTTATTTAGTGTCCTAAAGTCGGTCTAGATAGAAAAAAACTGTGCCCACGATCTTGAAAAACCAGACCTTGACCTAACAGCCTCAGTCTGTACATTCAAGACCTCTGGCACTGTTTTTCCTTATCCGGACCTCATGGCCAGCAAATAACATAATAATAATTCAGTTTTCATTTGTAAATTATTAATAGAGCACAAGTTTTAGTGCATGTGCAGTGTTAAAAATAAATGGACTTGCACAGACAGTTATTTCAAAAAGGCAGATTTTTTTGTAAATGTTGCATGTTGCATACCTAGTGGGAATAGTGCTATATTGCAGTCTGGCTTCACTGTTTGGAACCTGCTTTTTACCACTCTTAGTTTGGAAGACCAATCTATTGTTATTTTATTATTTTAATCCTATGTATTGTGTTTTAAACCAATGATGAAACTCTTTGCAAATGGTGCAGGATGCCCCCACTCCCCCCCCCCCCCCCCCCCCCCTCCCCTATATGAGCGATGTGAATCTAATCAATGAAAGGTCAGAACAATATGGAATTTTAACAAATTTTGTAAGAGATGAAGGCAATTATTCAACATTGATAACAAGGGGATTAGTTGCTCAAATATCCTGAGCTAGTAGCTCATGTAGAAAAGTGCTCAAAGATATGCCCTTTACTCCCATAGACCATAAGCACTCCTTGTTATGGGTATTCTAAACTAAAGCTACACAGAACACAGAGAGAAGTCAAAACTGACATGGACTATCCTGAGGATCGAACCATAGATCTCTAGCTCTGAAGACCAAACACTAACCAACTGAGCTATGCATGCGCTCAATTATAACATGCTCTGCACTGGAATATTTTCTTCTGTGCTGACATTTATTACATATGAATGAATAGGATACATTCCAAGCTTGGTAAGCAGCATGAAACATGCAACAAGACCTTCACCAACCCTTTTTTGAAATAGCTGTAAAACATAACTGTGATGGTGAAGCGGTATCATCAAACATTTTTATATGAAATCAGACTGATTCAAAGAATGTCATCAATTCTCTTCTTTGCCTTCATATACCATGCAGGTTCAAAGTTGAATTATTTCTCAATTGACACGGATTTCTTTGTTATTCACAAGGCTTTATTTTTGTTATAACCCTCATTATAACTGCGAGGCCAATATATAGTTAGTTATTAACCCAGTTAATAACTATATATAGACCGTTCGCATTTATAATGAGCAACATTTGATAGAAAACCTTCTCAATTGATAAATAAAATACTTAATTACCTCGAACGTTGGCCCTCGGGATGCATATGGCTTATTGCCTCCGTTCTCGGTAATTAACTCTAACGTACAATATCATACACCCTGAGACTGTAACTGAACTAACCTCCGTCTTTATCTCAGATGTGAATAAACTCACAAAATTTCCACCTGGTTGTGACACTAGGAGATACCTATGATCATTACACCTGTACAGTGCAAGTGACGTGATCTGGCTGGACAATGTCCATGTGTTTGAAATCACAAACTGTCCTATTTTCTTCTTTCTTCTTTCCTCTTGTTGGCTGCTATCTTTATTAATTGATAGTAATGAGGGCTTCCTTGGCTTGAAAAATAGAAAGAATTAGTAGATTCAACACAGAGAATTTAAAATACCTCCACTATACTATGGGTGCTAACATCCACTAACACTGTACTAATGCTCACCAATACCCTACCAACACTCTACCAATATTCCACCAGTACCCTATCATACACACCACCAACACCTCACAGTACTCTAACAACACTGTGACAACACCCACTAACACTGTGACAACACCCACTAACACTGTGCCAATGCTCACCAATACCCTACTAACACTCTACCAATATTCCACCAGTACCCAATCATACACACCACCAACACCTCACAGTAACCAAACAACACTGTAACAACACCCTACCAATGCTCACCAATACCCTACCAATACCCACCAATACCCTACCAATACCCTACCAATACCCTGCCAATACTTTACCAGTACCCTACCACACACTCCACAAACACCCCCACAGTACTCTACCAACACTTTGGCAACACCCACTAACACCATACCAACACTTTACCGGTACCCTTCCAAACACCCCACAGTACTCTAACAACACTGTGCTAGCACCTACTAACACCCTACCAGTGCTCACCAATACCCTGCAAATACTTTTCTAGTATCCCACCATAAACCCCACCAACACCTCACAGTAATCAAACAACAATGTAACAACACCCACTAACACCCTACCAATACCCTTCCAATACTTTACCAGTACCCTAGCAATGTAATTATATAACAAATGGAAATATTTAAGATACTGATTCTTCAATCTCACCTGTTTTGAATCTGGAGGACACTTTGTATCTTCAACCTTTGACTCTTTCCTAGATCTACCACTAGCTGAAGTCTTACCCTTGCTGTCTGATGAGACTGTTCCCTCATGCTCTAGAAAATGGTTGAAAGAAACAGTCTGAGCAGGGATAGCCTGCCCCCTCTCCCTTCCCCCAAAGCGCCACTATGCAGACTAGAGCAGGAACAATAAGGTGTACATTTGTGTGAAATCATGATTGCAGTTTTTAGAGATCAATGATTAGGATGATAAATCAATGACAATGATAATAAATGATAAATCATTTTCCATGATTTATGATTGTAACATAATTATGTTCTAAAATTTGTCAATTGTAAATGCTCAAAGAATCCTAGTCAACCACTTTGCACTGTGCACCTGTATTATATTGTTTACACCATTCACCTACATTGTTCTTGGAGCTCTTCCAAGCTCTGATGGAGCAAAACTTCTGCAAATTTGGGGTGCTTACCATTAAGCAGAAAAATCTCATTAGGATGGCTAAAGTTTAATGGTAAGGGAATCTCTCATTAATTATTCTGAAGCAAATGAACTACATGTGGTCTGAAATGGTAAAAATCAGTGACCATAACTACTGTACTATTGTAAATGAAAGAATTATAATTTACCTTGCTGTGAGGTCTTTTCAGTAACAGGGACTTTTTCTTCAAATTTCTGCCATTTATAAACATAAACAACTCTATCTGTGTGTCCTGACACAAGTTCACAAACTCCATCACCATCAATATCTGCGATAATGGCTGTCTTCGCATTAGAATTAAGAGCCTGAGAGAAGGTCAGCTCTAACTCACCACTGTCTTTTGGCTGTTCGTTAAACTAAGTAAAGAAAAATTAAACAGCAGAATTCTGACATTTGTCATGCATCAAAACTACTTAGGTGTTGTTGTTTTGTTTTTTCTTTTTTGTAAAATCATCTTTTTGTGCATAAAGGACTACTAGAAATCCTAGCACAAAGCCTCAATAGTTACCAATGTTGTTTTCATTGCTATGTGCTGACCAAGACAACAGTTGTAACAAGCAAATTGGGCAATACACAGCCATCAATCAAAGCATGTTAACATAGAGAATGATTTATTTGATTGACAGCAGTGTATTGCCCAATTTGCCTGTCTGTTGGCTTAACCAGGGCATTACAGGGCCTGTGGGGCATATTGAAAAGTGGAGGGGCTGGGATTTGAAAATTAAGCATCAAATTTGGGGGGGGACATTTTTTATTTATATTATATTTTTTGCCCAAAAAGTGGGGGGGGGGCTGCTAACCCCCAGGCTCCGCAGTCCCTGCATTAGCGATGAAAACAGTGGCAGCATGAAAAACCATATTTATTTAGATTTCATAGATTGACTTTTTGCACTCTTAACCAGCAAAAGAAGTGATACACAAGGGAATGGCATGTGGTTTCAGTGGCAGATCTAGGGGTGGGTTTTGGGGGTTGCAACCCCCCTATCAGAGCCATCGTGATTTATTATTATTATTTTTTTTTTTTCATGACAACACCAACAGCATTGCGAGTTTTATTACAACAGGGGTGCCGAACACATTTCGCTCGCTTATTAGCAACGTTTTTTATAAATTCTTTGGCCGCCTGAGATCCATAATATCCAGAAGATAAGACACCTCAGTTTTGCAAGGTTCTCGATTCTGATTGGCTAACATTTTTTCTCAGATTAACTGTATTGTATTTTTTACTCAAATGGTTAGTAAGTTGGCCTTTGAAAAATTGCAAAATGAAGTACAATGGCCATTATATCTTTAATTGCTTTTCATTTTTCTTTCTTTTATTAATCTTTTTTTGACAATGAAAAAGTCGGGTGCTCAAAGTGCATGTTTGCAATGCTGCAACCCCCCCTTTGAAAAAATCCTGGATCCGTGCCTGGGTTTGAAGTGGAAAACGTTACAGTGGATTATGACAATTTTTTCTGCAGGGGATGGACTCTGAGCTGAGGATTCAGCATTTAGCAAAGCTTCTAGTCTTTTTTCTATGAAAACATAAATTTCAACAAATCTAGAAGCGAAATGTGGGGAGGGCACCATGCTGAGCACAAGCCAAAGTCAAAAGTTTAATCGTTAATAAAGTATCTCATGAGGGACAGATGATAATAGGCTTATAACTCGCCATTTTATACTGGTGATAAGTCAGTATACATACATCAAATACGTGATACCAGCCATCAGCTGTAATAGTAAGAAGTAAATTCTTCCCCGTGTTCCACAGATCACCAACAGCAATACAAGTTATCATTCCTCTGTGTTGATACTTCTTCCATGGCTTGTGCTGTCTTCCCTTGAACACAAGCAGTTCTCCCTCCAGGTTCCCTAAAACAAGTTCATTTTCCCCATCGTTGTCAACATCCTCAAGAATTAGGGCTTCGTTGAAAAGAGTCCCCTCGAATTCCAGCTGCAAATGCTCCACGAAAGACACCGATCGCATTTTTTAATTATTTTTTAACCAAGTTTTTTCACAAATGACATTTTGAATGAAGCAGCTTCCTCGTTTGTGATTCTAGCCCAATCCCCAAAGGCAATTTAGCGACACAGGCAACCCAAAGCAAAACACATGTACTACAGATTAATAAATTACATTTTTCAACATCCATTTTATATTTTAATAGGGGTTCTTAAAATCAAATTATGCTTTCAGTTGGAGGTTAATAACGGAAAATCATTCTTTAATTGACGCCATATCCTGCACAATTTATAACCATCTACTTTCGGGAAGAAGGGCTTCAAATTGCCTTGAGATAGAACGCGTTTGGTTTTGTAAGCTACCGGTCTAGCCCTTCAAGGGAGGTCTCTTTTATAATTAGCGGAAACGGAAAAAAGTTTTAAATGTGTGGCTATTTTAGAGCTATACGAGCTAAATTAGTGTAAAGGGTGGGCGTTATTTTTGAACTGACAACACTCAAATATTATTTGCCGCCATCCGTTAGCCACACTAGAAAAACAGTCACGTAAAGTCCGAGATTGGAAACATACATAGATATACTTCTATTCTTTTCCTATTTCCTCACTACTTAAGGCCGCCATTATCCACTAATATAAAGTGTATGGGTCTGTTCTTTTTGTTTACAGTGACTGACTAAATGAACTATACTCAGTGTGCTCATTAGTTGTGTCTTTCCCTAGATCGGGTTTTCCTCCGGGTTTTCTGGCCTCTTTTCTTAAAACCCAGCACGCAAAATCTAACATTACAGAATTTCTACGATAAGTTGCAAATCATTTTATATAAAAAGAACATAAACCCGTTAGAAGATCTTAGCAAAGATGGAATACTATTGACATGCGTCATTGTTGAAAGCGAAACACTTTTACAGTTCATATGATCTAGTACAAAACATGTACGGTAGAAGAAGATTAGAGATAGAGGCTATAAAAGAAAAGTTATATATAGCTAATGTAATGTAGTTTAAAAACTCACTGACATCTATTTGTTACGGAACAAATTCTAGCTTCGACGTCAAGTCAGCCGAGATGATCTTTAATGGCTCGTACCCAGAGCCCTTATTTCTTACTGCGCACGCTCGACGAAATAATTGCTTGCTCTGTGTGATGCGCAGTAAGAAATAAGGGCTCTGTCTACGAGATTCGTTTCCCTCTCAGCCAATCAAAGGCACCAGAAAACCAAACAAGCCAATCGCAGTGCCAGCGAAACTCGGAAGCCATTTTGCTGTTGACGCGATAACTCGTATCAACATAAAAAGATAGTCTGTTGTTTTACTTCCAAAGATTCGTCTCAATTACACCTTTATCTAATTATTTTCCATTGTTAGTCGTTTTGTTTGTACTTCGTTGCTTTAAGAATTATCTATCAATAAACCACAAAACAGAACGAAGAACTGACTGTCAAGGATGCTAGCAATGGTTCGAGAGACATTTATTTCGGGACTAAAGGCCCTGGCTAAACGAGGAAACATGTTTCCCTAAATGTTTCCTAAAAGGTGGCAAAACTGTCAGGAAACATCGGGAAACAATGTTTCCATGCGTCTTGGACACATGAAATGCTTCTGCCGCACAGCAAAAACATTTTTTGTGTCTTGGAAGCAATATTTGTTGCACGCAGCAATGTTTCGCATGTGGCTAAACTGGGGAACATCGAGGAAACATGCGCGCGGTAAACATGTTTCCTCGTTAAGCCAGGGCCTAAAAGTTGTAAGTTAGATTTAGCATACGAAAACAGGTTGAACTGTGCAAAGTATGAAGCTCTTTTCCAATGAAATCTATTTAATTTAATTATAGTACTTCGTATCGTTCAAAGAACTGAAATTCTTTTTCAGTTACAAATAATTGACGAATGCAGTGAATTTATTACGAGGACAATGCAACAAAATTAATAAACAAAAATATTAGTAAAAGTTTCAGAAGCAGATGGTAATGATCATGGCGTTCGGTTATAGCGTGGGTGTAGGGGGGGGGGGGGGGGTTTTGGTCACGTATCATAAGCCTTGGACTTAGTTAGCTAGACGTGCTGCAAACGCGTTTTTCGTTATCTTTAAATTTCATGCAACACTAATAAGCAGCTTTCTTGGAGGCAAATAAATGAGTTTATACAAAGAAATAATCGCGATTTTTCGGAAATGAGTGGGCGGGCAGTATCAGTTTGTTGTGTCTTGTAACCAAGATTTGGGCCTTCGCCAGTCAGACCTACGTCTATAGTAAAACACAATAATGATCAAATGCAACAAATATTGCTTTCGCTTATCTATTATATATTTTATCTATCTCTGTTATTCAGTTTATTTAGCTGATACGACAAAGCTGTAGAGTAAATATCATGTACCATGGGCCCGGTAAAGTAAGGCAAAAGGTTTGAAGTTATAGCTAATCCCTACACGTATGCTAAACTCGGATTCTCACATGCCACACATCTACCGATTGGCTCCCGCATCAGTGTTTCTTGTTGTTTTTTTTTTTTTTTTTTTTTTTTTTTTTTTTTTTTTTTTTTTTTTTTTATACCGAAAAAACACAAATAGACACTATACAACCGACATATACATAGCCATAAATATACACTTCGTATCTTTGTTTGACCCATGACAGAATAGAGTGTAAACAATTAATCGGTGAAACACTAATTACTAAATAGTACAAAA